ATTTATTATTAATTTTAATTATTAATAATATAAAGGGAATAAGTTATATTATTTTTCTCCAAAAACTTCTTTCCAGCATATTTCTACATACAAATTTCATAAAATGAAATTAGAATTTTATTATTTATATAATTATGTAATAGAATAATCCATTAATATAAGAAACTTTAACAAATCATAAAATATTAAACACATTAATTTTAAATTATTGCAATTTTAAAAAAGTAATTATATAATTTATATAAAAATAATTATGATTATATGCTAAAAAATAAAGAATATTAGTAAAAAAGAATAACACATTAGTATAGTGAACAATTTCTACAACATTTTTTCTCTCTAAAATATGATAAATAGTAATTATGAAAATTATTAATTATTATGTTAATATAAGAAATGTAATTAAACATAAATTAACATTTGGGGCCAGCTATCTCATCCTTTGAGGTGCCTCCAACGTAGCGAGAAGATTAGTCACTGCTGTCGGCGGTGAATACTCCAGGGACGAACCAAAAAAAAAAAAACATAAATTAACATAAAAAAAATATTAATATTCTTATGTAAATATTTTTAAAGTAAAATATTCAACATTTCTAGTCCAAAAGATTTTCATTTTAAATAATATTTTTATTAAATAAAAATAATAATAATAGATTAATATTTTAAACTGTAATAACATCTTAATACATTAATTAATTTAATTATTTAATTTTTAAAATAAATTTAAATAAAAAATTACATAAAATATGGATTAGTACATATAAAATAATTTATTTCTTCGACGACTATTTTTCTCAAAAATTCATTAATTACATTAATTTTAAATTATTTCAATTTTAAAGTAAAATTAATTATAAAATTTACATAAAAATAATTATTAAAAAATTATGAATACTAGCAAAAAAAACATATTAGTAAAGTAAATAACTTCTGCAACAATTTTTTTCTTTAAAACATCAAAAAATGATGATAAAAATCATGATTTATTACGTTAATATAGAAAATATAATATATTAATTAATAATATAAAAGGGAGAAGTCATGAAATAATTTTCTTCCCTCTAAAACTCTCAACTATTTCCCCCCAAAAACTTTCTAAAAGAACTTTTTTTATATAAATGTTAATTATAAAAATAAAATAAACTATTTCAGAAAGTATCATAAAACATTAATCACATCAATTTTAAAATATTAAAATTTTAAAGTAAAGTAATTATAAAATTTACATAAAAATAATTATAATGCTAAAAATAATGAATGTTGGCCAAAAAAAAATAACACATTAGCTAAGTGAACAACTTTTACAAAATAAAAAAACAATTCTCTAAAATATCATAAATAATAATTATAAAAATTATTATTTATTATATTAACATAAGAAATGTAATTAAACATAATTTTACATTAAAAAAATATTAATATTTTTATGTAAATATTTTTAAAGTATAATATTCAAAATTTCTAACTTTGAAGATTTTCATCTAAAATATTATCCTTATAAAATAAAAAATAATAATGCATTAATATTGTAAATTTTACATCTTAAAACATTAACTATATTAATTATTAATTATTTCAATTTTAAAATAAATTTAAATAAAAAATATTATATATAATATAAAATTAGTATATATATAAAAATATAAAAGAAACTTCTTCCACAACTATTCTTCTAAAAATTTATTAATTACATTAATTTTAAATTATTGTAATTTTAAAGTAAAAATAATTATAAAATTTACACAAGAAATAATTATTATCATTCAAATATGTGCTATAATATTATTTTCAACGAAGTTTTCAATAATTTGTAGCAAATTAATATTTTTAATATTATTTTTTATTTATTATTAATATTATTATACTTTATATTTATTATTATTATCATTTTTTATTTATAAAATTAATTAAATATTATTTCATTCAATTTACTAAAATAAATCATACATAACACAAATATCGATCTAATATTATTAAAAGTAGAATAATTTTTTCAAAAGTTTCCCACCCAATATTGTATAACCTTATCCTCATACCCATATTTTTCAAAAAAATATTTTAGCTTTTTAAAATTCAAACATTTTTTATTAATTTAAAAAAAATATATTAACATTTAATAAATTAAATTATGTTACTTAAACACAAATCAATTTTCATCGAAAATTTGAAATATCAGAAAAAGATGTATATAATAGTGAAATGATGGTTAATTTAAATTTTTTAATATAATATAGCACATTAGTATAATGATCAACTTTTACAACAATTTTTCATTTCTAAAATATCATAAATAGCAATTATAAAATTTACTATTTATTATGTTAATATAAGAAATATAATTAAACATAATTTTATGTAAAAAAATATTAATATTTTTATGTAAATATTTTTAAAATAAAATATTCAACATTTCTAACCCAAAATATTTTCATCTAAAATAATGTTTTTATAAAATAAAAATAATAATACATTAATATTGTAAATTATAACAACATATTAATACATTAACTAGTAATTATTAATTATTTCATTTTTAAAATAAATTTAAATAAAAAATTTCTTCCACAACTATTTTCTGAAAAAATTCATTAATTACATTAATTTTAAATTTTTCAGTTTTAAAGTAAAAATATTTATAAAATTTACATAAGAAATAATTATGAATATATGCTTAAAAATAATGAATATTAGCGAGAAAAAATATATTAGTAAAATGAATAACTTTTGTAACGATTTTTTTAAATATAAAATCATTATTTATTACATCAATATATGAAATATAATCTATTAGTTAATAATATTAATTAATAATATAAAGAGAATAAGTTATGTAATAATTTCCTTCTCTCAAAAACTCACAACTTTTTTTCCTCAGAAGTCCTCTCAAAAAACTTTTCTTTTTATATAAATGTTAATTATAAAAATAAAATAAAATAATCCAATAAGTATCATAAAACATTAATCGCAATAATTTTAAATTGTTGCAATTTTAAAGTAAAAATAATGGTATTGTGAGAATATGATATTGTGGTGATCTACGAATTCAATTGTTGAAAACTTGTTTTTAAGAATAGTTGCCTATTGAAGTGGAGAATGAAGTCTTCTTTGAGTCCTTAGTTGATATAATATGTGATTCAACTTGAGCTATACTAATTATGAAGTGACCAACCAAGTAAGGTACAAAGTAAGGAGCCAAATCCCTAACTAAATATGGAAGGGATGCAATATTTGGAGGGTAGTTGGAGAACTAATTCCACATACGCTTAGTTATGCATGTTAAGGTCATGGTAGACTCATACCCAAGTTGTCTTATCCTTGGCAAGAATACTGTACTTTCCTAATTTAAGTGACAAAATTTGGAAACTCATATTGTGTTGTAGATTTTTATCCAATTTTTTTATTAATTTAACAAGTCCAAAAAGATTGCGTTGTGAAGTTGGTTCAGTAAGGTCAAATCACTTAGTTGAAATGCGTGATAACTCATATAGTTGTTGCATTATGCATATGTTGTGATTGAAAAATTTGTTATTCATATGCTAAGTTGATATGTTGATAAATTGTATGGTTATGTTGTAAGTTGAATTATTGTCATGTTGTTAAGTGGTAAAACTATGTTGGTATGTTGATTTGTGTTGTTAAGCTAAACCTTAAGCTATTGTGAAATGTTGAGTTGTTGAAGTTGTTTTATAGTTAGTTTAATACTTCTACATTATGTTGTTTCTTTTGAATTCAAGTTTACCCTTACATTTTCCTTATGGTTGGATTATGGTGATTATATTTGTTATAAGAGTAGGACAAGAATAAACTGGAGGTTGAGCACATCTTGTGAGCCATCCTAGAGGATGGTGGGGTTGTTATGGAGCTACTTTGATGTAGTTGTTTTGTAGTTGTTGCTTGATTGACAATTGGGATTATGTTTTCAACTGAAACCATAATCCTCGTTATACATATATATTGTTGCATGTATATCCAAGTACTGCTTGCATGATAATCCTAGTTAGTTATAGTTATGTTTTTATTATTTTAGTTGTTGAGCTGTAAAGTGTAGAAACTTGTTTAGTTGTTACACTTTTATGGTATTAAAGCCAGTCAAGTCTTTTAGGCATTTTGTGAAAGTGATCTCATTATGCTTTGTTGTAAATAATATTTAGTGTTGTGTTGTTAAGCAATGTTGCATATGGATATTTAATCTTAGTATAAGATGATTAGACCATATTTTGACCAGATATTTAAGGTCATGGAGATAATGGTTGTGACTATTCATCAATAGAATACCAATTTTGCTTGCATAGAAGCAAATTAGGCTACAGTTGAAGCAACCAGACCAATGGTGTCTCAGGGTTGTGGAGACTCGGTTGAGTTTATGAAATGTCATCCTCCTCAATTTAAGGGTGATGTTGATCTAGAGGAGGGTGACCAATGGATGTGTGAGGTGGAAAATATATTTTGAGTGATGGGATGCCCTCGGGAAAGAAAAATGACTTATGTTGTCTATATGTTGATTGAGGAGACTAAGTATTGGTGGAGGGGTATCCAACAGATGTGTGAGGCCA